AGGACCCAGCCCCTGGCCCGGGTCCCCCGCCAGGCCCGGGAGGGAGACCCACGCCGCGCTCACTCACCCTGCTCCGCGGAGGAACCTGCCATCCTAGGAATCCCGACCCGCTTCCCGGCCACAGCTTCCCAGAATCTGATGCAACTGCCGGAAGTCCCGCCCCGCGTCCGGTCACTAGGCAGCCGCCCGGGGCATTCTGGGAGTTGTAGTTCCTACTTGCCTGGCTGGAGTGGCGTCCTCAGGACAGGCTGGGTGCTGGACAGAGCGCCAGGCTGCAGGGAGGCGAGACCGCTCCGAGGGCGGGAGACACGGGGACAGGGAACAAGGCAGACAGGGAACCAGCGGTTCGCAGCTGCAAAGACTAGATGCCAAGCGGCTGCAGCCACCTACTCAACGCCATCGTCCCTCAACCACGGACACTTAAGAGCGAATGGTCTGCCCTTCTCCTCCCCAACCAGAGGGCAGAGCTCAGACCACCCCACTCAGGCACAGCAGACCCAGTGACAGTGGAACCGCAGGCTGCACCGTCTCCCATCTGAACAATTGGCTTCTCCACCTGAAAACCCAAGTCTCCCCTCGAAAACGAGAGAGAATGCGCCGCGGAGTCAGTTTCCCTGTTACCGCCTCAGGGGATCGTCCTGTGAACATTTTTGTGTTTTTTGCCTTTCTTGCTGCTTATCATTATTGTTCAATTTCCATTTTTTTACGGTATATTTCCCTTCCTTTTTGTTAAATTGTCATATTTTATGTCCTTTTTGTTTTTATTTTTTTATTTATTTTTTTAAAATATATTTTATTGAGTTTTTACAGAGAGGAAGGGAGAGAGATAGAGAGTTAGAAATATCGATGAGAGAGAAACCTCGATTAGCTGCCTCCTGCACATCTCCTACTGGGGATGTGCCCACAACCCAGGTACATGCCCTTGACCGGAATCAAACCCGGGACCCTTCAGTCCCCAGGCTGACGCTCTATCCACTGAGCCAAACCGGTTTCGGCTCCTTTTTGTTTTTAAAGTGTTTATTTATAGATTAAACAGTAGAGAGACATGGGCTGTACATGAGAAAGGTCAGAATAGGGCGTCCCCTGGCGGCTGGAGGGGCGAATTCAATGCACCTCACTTCTGATGGGAAAGCATGATTCAGGGATACAGGTCTTTGGTTGGTCTCTTCCCTCCCACCCCACCCACCCTCCTCCCTCTGAGAGGCCACAGTCTGGTCCCTGCTCCCATGGCTCTGGATCTACTTGTTCATCAGTTTATTTTGTTCGTTAGATTCCACATGAGTGAGATCACGTGATACTTGTCTTTCTCTGACCGGCTTCTTGCGCTCAGCAGAATCCGCTCCAGGTCCCTCCGTCTGTCGCGAAGAGCTGTGATCAAACCAGTGAGTTTTTTCCCAATTCAATTATCTGTTGAGCAACTCTATGTGCTAGGTGCTGTCCTACATGAGGGAAATATGAAAGAACAATTCTTACCTCAAGTAGGTTACACAGTCTAAAAAGGAGACAAATAAGAAAACTGAGGATTACATTTGGGAATATAGGACAGCAGGAGTGGATATACGAATGGGAAGAGATTGGATCAGAAAAGGCTTCCCAGAAGAGGTGATAATAAGAATGATAACAAAGCTCTGGCCAGTGTTCCTCAGTGGTTAGAGTGCCAGCCTGCACACCAAAGGGTCTCGGGTTTGATTCCTGCTCAAGGCTCATGCCTTGTTGCAGGTTCAATCTCTGGTCCCAGTTGGGACACATGCAAGTGGCAGCCCATCCATGTTTCTCCCTCCCTCCTTCCCTCCCCCTCGCTCTCGCCAAAAATCTATCCTCAGGTGAAAATTAACAAACAAAAAAAAAGGAAAAAGAAAAAGAAAGGCCTCCTCCAGCTGAAGAAATGACAGCTCAGAGTGGCCACTGGGTGCCTGTCCTCCACTTGCTCATACATGTCACCCAGTTCATGCCACGCCCGGCTCCTGGCCAAGGGGGCATCCCAGGACTCAGAGACCAAGGAGCCGGGGAGGGGGCTGGGGGCAGAGAGACAACCCTCCAGTCCGCGGGGTGCAGCGCCTGGGAAGAGCCAGGGGGTCGGGGGCCACCCAGCACCCTCAGCGGGTCCCGCCCACCAGCTCAGGGCCCCTGGGACCCAGGCAGTGACGCTCCTGCCTACCCTGACCCCCCCCTCCCCCCGGGGAAGCTTTACAGGGACTCTCCTCAGAGCAGGAGGCGCTCGGCCCATCTGGGGATCCCGGAGGCGCCAAAGGGATGGACCCCGGAGAGAAACTGGGTGCTGTGACCTCAGACACCCGCCAAGGTCACGGCAGGGCCAGGCCTCCCCTCGTGTGGGCCCCGCCCGAAAGCCGACGCAAGAGACTTTTAAAAATATATATTTTTATTGACAAGCAGCATCTCACTACAACGTGGGGCACAGGATCCGGAGCTTCCGTGGTCTCGCATCTCGAAGCCATTTCCTTCCAGCCCAACTGACGTCATAAGCATCTTCCAGTCCCGTCCCAGGACCTCATGTCCGAGTTCACAATAAGCTTATTGGTGGCTGAAAAGAGGAAACCAGAAGGAAAACAGACTCACATTTCCGGAAGGTGCATGTGGCCAGGACCCGGCGTGGCTCCTGACCTGCCTGCAGCTCATTCGTCCTGGAGCCCATGACCCTGGAGAAGGGACCCAGGACCCGGGTAGGCGGCAGCCCTGGGGGCGGGGGATGGGTGTGCGGAGGTTGGCCCGGCGCTTGCTCTCCTCCTCCCAGAGGCGGTGGGGCCGCAGGACGGACGAGGCTACGGCCAGGGGAGCCTGGCTGGGATGGGAGGCCTGGGCGAGTTCTGCAGCCTCGTGGGCTCTGGGCTGCCTGAACTTTGACCTGTGACTTGGGGAGACCTCCCAGAGCTGCCTGAGAGGATGGGGTTCCAGAAAGCACCTGGCGCCCCGAAGGTGTGGCTCAGTGGATAGAGCATCAGCCTGTGGACTGAAGGGTCCCGGGTTCGATTCCAGTCAAGAGCACATCGAGCCCAGGATGTGCGCTCGATCCCCAGTGTGGGGTGCACAGGAGGCAGCCACTCGATGATTCTCTCTCATCATTGATGTCTCCCTCTCCCTCTCCCTTCCTCTCTGAGATCCATAAAAATATATTAAAAATGAATAAGGAAGTGAGCGCAGCTGTATTTTAAATGGAAAACGCCGGTCAAGAGCCTGCCGGGCCTCGGGCTGCTGCTCTCCCGTCCGGAGCGCTCTCCTCCGCTTACCTCTTCTTCTCCGCCAGGCGATGCCGATGGCGATGGCGATGATGACAATGCAAACCACAGACACAGCCAAGGCGCTGACAGCCAGGGAACCGGCTGGGGGTCCTGGGGGCACAGAGCGCGGTAGCGGGTAAGCACGTCCCTCGCGGAAGGACTCGCTGCCCGCAGCGTCCGCCCTCCCAGAAGAGGGCGAAGGTCCGGTGCCCCAGGGGGGGGCTCTGGGGCGAGCGTCACTGAATCCCGGGCCGGAAAGCAGCCCCCCCCCGAAGGTGGGGACGAGGGAGAGGACCCCATGGTGACTGCGGGAAGGCCCGGCCAGGTGGCCCGAGGGACAGGGCAGGGCCACCCAGGAGCCAGCTGCTGAGGCCGCTCGGGGGCTGGTCTCCCCCGGGTGACATTACAGCACCCAGCGGAGCCACCACAGGGACCCGGCGAGGGCAGGCCCATCAGAGCTGTGGCCCCGGCGTCGGGCCAGCCCAGGAGGCGGACGGACAGCAGTGACCCTGCCACGGGGCCTTGCTCCTCCAACAGCTTCCTGAAGTGCATTTATTTCTCGTGAATCCTCGCCCGATGACATTTTCCCATTGATTTTTTGTGAGAGAGTGGAGGGGATGGAGGAGAGGGAGAGACAGAGAGAGAAGCGTGGTTGTGAAAGTGTGAGGGACACATCGATGGGCTGCCGCACCCCCCGACCGGGTTGGGGACTGAGCCTGCAACCCAGGGACGTGCCCTTGACTGGGAATCGACCCACCAGCCTTTGGTCCACGGGCCGAGGCTCTAACCACTGACCCAACCCGGCCAGGGCTCTGACCACTTGTGTTTAATCACAGATTAGGTCCGAACTATGTTCTTTTTGTGGGGGGATGGGCATTACATGTGCTTTAAACCCCGCCGGCCTGGCTCAGTGGTTGAGCGTCGACCTATGAACCAGGAGGTCCGGGTTCGATTCCCTCTCAGGGCACAGGCCCGGGTTGTGGGCTCGATCCCCAGTGGAGGGTGTGCAGGAGGCAGCCGGTCCATGATTCTCTCTCATCATGGATGTTTCCCTCCCTCCCTCTCCCTACCTCTCCCTCCCTCTCGGACATCAATAGAAATATATTAGAAAAAAATAACGTTTTCTTGGAACCCGGCCACACACACCCACCACTTCCTGCCTGCAGCCTCTTTTCTACGGGGCAGAGCTGAGCACTGACCCCCGCACAGGCTGGCTCCCGTGGAAGAGGGGGGGCCGCTTACCTGGCTCTGGCTGGGCTGCTGGGGCGCACACGGTGTCCCTCGTGGCGTTGCAGGTCTGGAGGGTGGCGCCGGGACAGCTGAGAGGAAGGAGTGAAGGACCCTGAGCATCACTTCCCGGCAGGCCAGCCCCCGCCCCGGAGGGCCCCTGGCTCCGGCAGCCTGTGCCAGGCTTTCCCAGACCATCGGCCCACCGGCTCCGGGACCGCTGAGAGCACAGTGAGGGAGTTCGGGGCCCCTGGGGTGCGGCTCTGAGGACGGCACCTGCTGGAGCCACAGCCGCACTGAGAGGGAGCAGCCCCGAGAGGAAGCCCATGGAGACGGGCAGGCAAAGGAGTCGAGAGAAGCAGAGCCCTGATCGAACCGGACCTGCAGGCGGCCCCTACTTTGGACTTGTCAGGTCCCAGGGCCACAATTCACATGGTCTGAGTTGCATTGAAGGGCCAACACCCGCCTCACAAAATGCGCTGCTCTGCCCGCCAGGGGGCTCAGTGGTTGAGCTTCAACCCCTGAACCAGGAGGTCACGGTGCGATTCCTGGTCAGGGCACAGGTCCAGGTTGCGGGCTCCATCCCCGGTCGGGGGCGTGCAGGAGGCAGCCGGTCCATGATTCTCTCTCTTCATTACCGTTCCTCTCTCTCACTCTCCCTTCCTCTCTGACACCAATAAAAATCTATTTCTTTTAAAAAGGGAGCTATTTTGCCAACGATTTTACCGCTGTCATGTCTCCCAGAAGGTCCCCCCATCGAGCCCACCCAGAGAGCCCAGGAGGCAGGAGGGTCCTCCCAGAGCCCGCGTGAGGCCGGCCGTGCCCACACCTGGGTTTCGGGCTCCTGGGCTGCGGGCCCTGGAGGTTTGTGAAGCCGCCAGGACTGGAGCCTGTGACAGAACCAGGGCCCTGCTGCAGGGACGGCCTTGCAGCTGGGACAGGGCACGGGGCTCACGGCTCTTCCTCTGCCTGGAGCCGCCTCCTCTGGAACCGTCTATGGCTCCCACCTGCCCTCCCTCCTCCGGCCTCTGCGTCTCCCACAGCCCCCACCCTCCACCCCTCGGGGACCCGGGCAGGTTCTGTGCTTCGGCTTCTGTGCCGACTCCACGGGGGCTTTGGTGGGATGAGCGGGTCGTGGCTCTGGGTGGACGGAGCCCTGGCCCCAGGGCGGCCCCCGGTGGGAACAGCCAGGCCACTGGTTGGATTTCATCTGCAGGCGCCTCCACGTGGCAGGTGCTACCAGGTTACAGAGGGGAGAACCGAGGGGCAGCAGCAGAACCCGAGGCAGACACGCCACTGGGGGGCGGGGGGGGGGACCCAGGCTGCGTGGCTGCCCGCGCCCCAAGGCCGTACCTGGTGCAGGGGTGGCAGCTCTCCGGGCAGGGCTCAGAGTCGCAGTAGAACTCCCTGGTCTTGCACTGGCACCGCCGGTCCTGTGTCGGGGTGCAGTCACTCACCATCTCCTGGTCTGCGGGGGGAGGGGAGGGGTCAGGCAGCACCAGGGCTGGGACTCCATCCCACCCATACCGGCCCCTCCTGCTGCCGCGTCACAGGCACCGAATCCACAATCTCCCTCCCTGAGGCGGGTGGGTGGGGAGTGGGGTAGGCCCGCGGGAATGTCACCCACCACACCCAGTGTTTCCTCCGAGGCTGGCACTGACCCCCCGTCTCCCGTCGGGCCAGGATCCCCACTGCCCTGCGCCCCCACGTGCGGCACCGGCTCTGGCGGACGTAGGACGGTCCACCTCTTCACTCTCAGAGACCCTTTCTTTTTCTTTAATTATAGTTTGATTGTTTTTTTTATAAAATCTTCAAGTTTAGACTTTTGGAAAATGCTTTTAAAAAAATTTTTTTTAGAAATATATATATTCTTATTGATATCAGAGAGGAAAGGAGAGGGAGAGAAACATCAGTGATGACAGAGAATTACTGACCAGCTGCCTCCTGCACGCCCCCTACCGGGAATTCGAAACCTGGGCATCTGCCCCGACCGGGAATGGAACCATGAAGTCCTGGTTCTCAGGTTGATGCTCAACCACTGAGCCAAGCCGGCCGGGCCCCCCTGATGTTTTTAGAGAGAGTGGAGGGAAGGGGAGAGACAGAGAGAGAAACATCGAATGTGAGAGAGACAGACAGTGATGAGAGCCTCCCTCCCACAACCCAACTGCGGCCAGCAGGGCCTGAGCCCGCCATGAGGGGTGTGCAGCCTGCACCCCTCAGTCCTCAGCTGACCCGCACCCACTGAGCCAAACCGACCAGGGTGTTCTTACTGATCTTCCGAGAGAAGGGAGAGGGAGAAAGACAGGGAGAGGGAGAGATAGGAAAGTGGATGATAGAGAAACACTGACCGGCTGCCTCCTCCCGCTCTCGACTGGGGATTGTACCAGCGACCTAGACACGTGCCCTGACCCTGGTCCACGGGGCGACGCCCAAGCACAGAGCCCCGCACACCAAGGACCTCAGGGCTCCTTGTAGGCACGTCCACCCCTGAGGCCTCGTCCTCTCTGCCACGCCTGCGTCTCTCTCCACTGCAGCTTATTTTATTATCATCGTTACTATTATTGCTATGATTTCAGCTCAGTGAAACCTTCCTAGCGCTGAGGGCCAGGCCCCTGTGTGTCCTGGGAAGGAGTCTGTGCGTTGCCGCGCCCTCATACTCTCCATCGCGGCTTCGCTTCCCGCGCTCGGCAAGCACGCGTGCCCCGTGATGGCGTCCGAGGCCCAGCGCCTGGGCCCCCGTCATCACTGCCTTTGGGGCGACTCCCCCAGGCAGGTCCCCGGGAGGCTGCTTTACATGACACAGACACCCCGGCCGACGGCGCCCACTTACCTTCCCGGCACTGGGTGCACGGCGAGCAGGACTGTGCCCTGTTGGGGTGGGCCAGGAAGGAGTCAGGTGGGCACGGACAGCACCTTACGGCCTGGCCCATGGTGCAGTCCGCGCTGACGTAGTGGCCTGCGGCAGGGGTGGCACAGAGGTGAGGTGGAGCCCGGCACCCACCTGTCCTGGTCCCCGAGGCCAGGCCCCTGCACAGCACCAACCCTCGCCTCCTGTCTCCTTGGAATGTTCTGGACTGAGCCTCAGCTCCATGTGTCCCAGGAACTGGGGACCTGCTTCATCCTCAGCCTTTACGGATCCCCCGCAGCTCGGCTCAGAGGGGGTGGGTGTGCACACTGGAGCCCGCCGACCCCGCCTCTCCCAGCTCAGCA